TCACAAACTCACTAACCCAATCAGCTAACAGCTGTTTACCAAACACATATGGCTAGAGGAAAAAAAAAAAAAAAAAAAGATGACCCCTACAATCAATCACACAAGACTCATTCATTATAAAAACATCACATAAAAATTTTCTGGCACACATAAGGGCAAAAGCAGCAATGCCCATATGAAATGATTTTAAGACAAGACTCAAAAAAGCACTGTCAAGAATTGATTCAGCTACAAAATGGAATTCTTACAGAAAAACTCTCAAGTGTTACCACTTGAAAATGCATTGAGTAATGCTGACATGTATGTTTAGACTTCATCATGGAGAAACTAATCTCAAACCATGATCGGAAGGAACATATATAAACATTAAGCGATCAGATCAGGCCGTGCCATTCTCAGTCACCGTGCAGCACACCCTCAGGTAGTGGTTGCGGGTTTCCCTCGTCACCCCAAAAAAAGAGGAATGGAGGATCCATTCTTTTTGTGATATTAAACCAACTTATCAGATCTGTTTTAAATATTTGACTGGAAATATTAAAAAATAATTTGTTATTAATAATTAACTAATTAATATGAATTAAAAAAAATAATTGATTGAGAATAAAAATGACACAAAAATTAGGCCAATTGAAAAAAATCTATATATCTATATAAAAATAAAATCCTCCTAACATTTTCCCGCTCAAACTCATTATATTAATTATGGTAATAGAATTAATCATTGAATCATTGAATAATATGGCAAAAAACGGAATATTGCATAAAGTATCATAATATAGAATAATTAATTAGAATAATATTATTATGGTAATACACAAAATTATGGTCATTATATATTTAATCCAATTACTCCAATAACAGGTAGTTATAGCATATATATGGATATTACCGTGTATATAAAATATATAGGTAGTACCGTGTATATTAATCTACATTTCACATATCACATTTTCATCCGTGTATATAAAATATAGGTAATGATTAGGTAGTAGTGCATGACTAATTACCTTAATTAAATATAAATTAAGTTACTATAAATCTGTGCATAGCATATATTATATTATATTGCATATTTACCATATATGCATATTAGGATGGTATATTAATAGGTGTAGTATTTATTAGAAGTTATTTTAGTAAAAATAATTTATTTTATTAATTAACCATATAAATTTTCGTAAAATTAGCAATCAATTATTATTACATATTATATATTCCGCAATTCTCTTCTTCCACCTCCACTCTATCCTATGCGCAAAGCTCAAGCGCTTACGTCTGTTGTACATCAACCACTAGCGGACGCCGTAGATTTTTAATTCTACTATCATTTTGTGTATGTCTTATGCGACGTCGTTCCTTCTACGCCATAGTTTTTCTGGCTTTAATTCATCTTGCTTTTAACATTGCAGCAGATGACGCGTTGTAAGGAGAGAAACAAAGGTTGATCTGTGATTTCCACGGGTGAGTTTTTCATTATCTTAGTTTTTTTTTTTTTTTCTTTGTGGGTTTTGTGTGTTTATTCCCTTAGATTTCTTCTACTATCATTTCGTGTATATCTTGTGCGACGTCGTTCTTTCTGCGCCATAGTTTTTATGCATTTAATTCATCTTGCTTTTAGCGTTGCAGCAGATGACAGAGTTGTATGGGGAGAGACAAAGGTTGATACGCAATTTGCATGGGTGAGGTTTTTATTATTTTAGTCTTTTATTTTCCGTTTTGGGGTTTGTGTGTTTTTTTGTGCATTTTCTGATTTTTAAACAAGAAAAGTTGTTCATAAGAAAAAACAATTTTTTTTTTTGTTTATTTGTGGAAAAGATACGGATCTAGAAAGATCGACCGGGAAACAGTAGAGTTCTTTGCTCATCAAATTGAAAAAATTTGGAGAGTGACGGATTCTCTCTATATGTAAACATATAGAGAGGGAAGCATGATATGATCGGAATATTCAGAAGAAGGTGGTGGAAAGTTGTTCCTCTTCATCAGATGAATATACTTCTTCTAATTCTGATGAAGAATTAAAGGTCGGTTGATTAAAATATCTATGTATGTGCATGCTTGAAAGTACCATTTACTGTTGTATGCTTTTATTGACATAAATTTAATTTCCTGTCATTAGATTCTTATAAAAATCATTATTCTTATTTTTATTTTTTTTTGCTTTTGTTTTTAGAGTATGGATAATTTGTTTCATTCAATGTTTAAAAAAAAAAATTGTGAGTTGTGCTTTAAGTAGTGATAGGTATTCAATGGTGTTTTTATTGTTGTCAGAAACTCGCTCTTAAAACTATAGTTGCACCTAAGAAATCAGTTTGACAAATCTAAAATATTGTGTGTTATGCATGAATGATTTTATTTTTATTAATAGCATATATTATGATATGATTAATATTATTAAAGTAAGAAATTTATATATGATAAATTACTAAATATAAGTATGGTAATATTTATTTAAATTTTAATGAAATTAAAATATAATCCTCATATGTGGTTTCCCGCCCAAACTTTTATTAATATAAAGTTATTTTTGTCCCTAATATTTTTTTTCAACTTTATTTAGTTATTTGACTATTCTTGCCATTTTAGGACTTTCTGGATTGAGAGGTGGTTGAAAGTACTATTGGAACTTTGGAGCGTAACAAGCAATGTGATGCTAAGGATGGTAGATCTGTTAACTAATTGACTAATTGATATGTATTTAAAAAGAATAACTGACTAAGAATAAAAATTACACGGAAATTAAGTCAATTGAAAAAGGAAATGAATGTTAATAATTGATTGAAAATTAAAAATGATCCAAAATTAACTGAAATAAAGAAGGAAATGGTCAAACTGTCCAAACAATAATATATATAAATTGGAAAAGGAATCTGTTTTAAATATTTGACTGGAAATATTAAAAAATAATTTGTTATTAATAATTAACTAATTAATATGAATTAAAAAAATAATTGATTGAGAATAAAAATGACACAAAAATTAGGCCAATTGAAAAAAAAAAAACTAATATTAATACTTGATTACAAATTAAAAATATCCTAAATTGACTCCCATGGAAAAAGAAATACCCAGAGTCCTAGACCACTCAAAGAATAGTATAGATAAATTGAAAAAGATATCCGTTATTAATAATTGATGACTGGAAATATTAAAAAAATAATCTGTTATTAATAATTAACTAATTGATATGTAGTAACAAAAAAATAATTGATTGAGATCTACATTTGATACGAAAACTAGGCCAATTAAAAAAGGAAATAAATAATAATTTTTTGAAAGGGGAAATAAATAATAATAATAGATTAAAAATTAAAAATTAAAAATGATCACCGATTAACTATTTCAAATAGGAAACCAATTAACTATAATATAGGTATTATATGGGATACATATGAATCCGAGCTCATTGATTTCTCAGATGCAAATTATATCATGCACCGGGTGCATAATCGATTATGCACCGCGCATCAAAACGACGTCGTTTTATTTAATGAAAAGAAACAGAATCTTCGCAAAAAATAACTCTGTTCTTCAGTTTCATTTTTGAATACACTGCAGTTTCAGTTCAACACAACTACAGTTTCGTTTCGATATAACTACAGTTTCATTCAATATTTAAACATTCAACTATGTGAAAATGTTATTTAATTTTATTTTATAGACGCTATAGTTTCATTAAAACACAACTACATGATCATTTCAATATAATTACAGCTTCATTGTACAATATACACTCAAATATGTGAAATGTCCAGTTTTCATTTTATATATACAAATGTCGTCTACAAATAGGTTTCAATAATGTGTAAATATAACCGGTGATATTATGTTTTTTAATGGAAAAATTGCTATATATCTAGACAAAAAATATATTTTCCATACAAATGAATTATGAATCATTTATGTGTTTTGATGTTATCATTGCTTGAATTTGAGCAAATAATTGCTCAAATTAATAGCTAATGTGTAGATGTACGCATGCGGTGCTGCAATTTTGGAAATTTTATTTATCATCATTTAGTATTTTTTTTATATAAATTAGACAAATATGTTCGTTCTCTAGCAACTCAGTTATATGAATGAATTGTTATCTTAATTCATTTGTATGGAGGATATTTTTTTTTTTTGTCTATACATATAACAATTCATTCATATAACTGAGTTGCTAGAGAACGAACACATTTGTATAATTTATAAAAAAAATACTAAACAATGATAAAAAAAAAAAAAATCTCCAAAGTTATAACACTACATGCATACATCTACACATTAGCTATTAATTTGAGCAATTATTTGCTCAAATTCAAGCATTGATAACATAAAAACACATAAACGATCAAAACTATACCTTCAATTGCACTATATAATATTTGATGTTCTAATTTAAATAATTATATATCGATCCAAATATTCTTAATATATTATAACAAATCCATTCCGTGCATCGCACGGGCGCAAATACTAGTAACTTCAAATATGAACTTAAATTGTAACTATCTTAAATGAAGTTCACTATTCCAATAGGAGAAACAAAATTAATGAGGGTTGACTATGGCCCTATTTGGTAACTTTTAATACGAACTTAAATTGTAAATATTTTAAATGAATGTTTGATTAATTAGTTTTTTTTTTTTTTTTTTTTTAACAATTTATTGCTCCAAAATGTTAAAATTCAAAAAGCTGCTCAGAGTAGCTTTTTCAATCAGCGTTTTGATAAAATCATTTTGCATGTAATCAGCTATTATCTAACAGTTAATTTACCAAACACTTTTCTACAATCAACTAATCCTATCAATTAGTCAAACCTACTAACCCAATTAGCTAACAACTATCCGCTAACAGCTGTTTACCAAACACACATATGGCTATAGGTTAAGAGAAAAAGAAAAAAAAAAAAAAAAAAAAAAGATGACCCCTACAATCAATCACACAAGACTCATTCATTATAAAAATATCACATAGAAATTTTCTGGCACACACTAGGGCAAAAGCAGCAATGCCCATATGAAATGATTTAAAGAAAAGACTCAAAAAAACATTGTCAAGGATTGATTCAGCAACAAAATGGAATTCTTACAGAAAAACTCTCAAGTGTTACCACTTGAAAATGCATTGAGGAATGCTGACATGTATGTTTAGACTTCATCATGGAAACTGATCTCAAACCATGATATCGGAACGGACATATATAAACATTTAAGCATTAAACGATCAGATCAGGCCGTGCCATTCACAGTCACCGGCACCTCCTTAGATTTCTCGCTCGTATCCAACTGGCTGAAGTTCCCCTTTTCCTTGAACAACTGAGTGTGGTGGTGCCTGCAATACAGCTTATGCTCGTGTGCTACATAATTTGATGGACTGATCACACAGCCGCCGTGACTGCACTTGAAGCAAGCCCTGTGGTACGATGTTCCATCAACCGCTACCTATAGAAACAACATCCAATGTGAATTAGGATCTTCGATTGAAATCGGTTCATGTACCTATACATTTGTGCTCCATTTGGCACACACAAGAATCAGGTAGGAAAGGGGTAACCCCACCCCAGCCAAGATGGCTAAAGATATATATGTGTAATCACAATGTCACGAGTTCGAATCCCAGCCTTCTTGGTTTGAGCTGGTCAGCTAACTGGTTTACCTCCTTGTGATCTTTTGCTGGTTAGGGCCACAAGGCGGGATTTACCCAGTGTAGAACACCCTCAGGTAGTGGCTGCTGGTTACCCTCGTCACCCCAAAAAAAGAGGAATAGAGGATCCATTAAACCAACTTTTCTTTTCCAGCTTAATAACATTTAGCAATATCTTACCTTTTCAATGGGGTAAACTGTTTTCTTGCAAGCAACGCATTTATCTTGAGTTCCCGCAAACAGGCTTGAAACTTTGCTGCTTGTGTGTCCCTGTCCGATATAGCTCATGATAAGTAACAGCAGAAATTTGATCAAAACAACACAACAAATTGTGCAAAAACAAAAATATCTCTGTGCCTTAACCATCTAGAAACTAGATGTTAGTACCTGATCTGCAGCTCTTTCCCTCACCGTTTTTGGAGCCCCTGCACAAGGCGGTGAAAGGGATAGAATAAGCTTTGAGGTACTAACAAGACTTATATTATAGGTGAAAATGGAACTCGATAATTGCTTTTACCTTCAAAACTCTTATCCAAGCTACCAGTCATTTTGAAAAGTTGATCAAAGTGTGGTTTGCAATATAAAACTCCTTCGAAAGAGTTGTAATTGCTGAGCTGCAAAGAATAAGACCACGAAACAAATATCTATTAAGCGAGGTAATATCCAACTGAAAGGAGGAAAACGCTAACGATAGACACACCATAGCATTACTAGCCTAGTAGGTGCAACACGAAGGGGAAGCAAGCGATTTTAATGCAAAGACACCAGAAACAATCAATCAAGCCAATTAAATCTGACGAGTCCAAAGCTTAAAGGCCCCACAATCACAACATCAGAGATAAGTTATGTACAAAAGAAGGTCCATGTGGTGGGAAATAAGCTGTCAGAGAAATGAATTGGCAGTATACAAGCTTCAATTATAACAGCACAAATTCTTCACTTTACCCATTTTTCTCTGTTTTTCTTTTCTTTCTTTTTTGGCTACCAACAAAATTTAGCTATAAAGCATGCATCTATTAAACACATAAAACAATAAAATATTTCTATTTGTGTGCTTCATGTTGCCATACTAGACACAAACTGGGCAACCACAGAAATACATTAGCCCAAATTTACTCAGAAGCATCCCTACATTATTTATATGAATTTCTGAACTATAATGAAGATTTAAGACAAAAATTTATGAGATGTTCAGCTGGAAAAACAGCAATAGATCCCAGAACAATAAAGTCCAAATGGATTGAGCACAAGGATTAATTACTCAAACAAGGAAGAAACTTTCAGAGACTCAACAGAGAACAACAAAATCCACTGTTAATTCCCTTTAAAGCAAGAAGCTAGGCTCCATTTGGTATATGGGAAACATGCAGTAATCAAATCATAAATCCATTCCAATTTCTGATTTTTTACCTTCATTGGGTAAGTTGTGTTTCCTTAGGAAACCCTATGAAAAAAACAATCAAAATAATCCCATATTTTCTTATGATCAGATTATTAACTGGAATGAAATAACATCAAATCCTGTGACCCATAACATTCCAAGAAAAGCAAAACCAATCTCCCAAACAATCAGATCACTAAAGGAGGAGAGCTAAAACAGTGCAAAAATGGCAAGAAATCCAATTCTTGCTTAAACACACAACAAATCCAAACACATGTCTGTACAAAGTAAGTCACCAAATCAAGAAACACAATCAACTCTTAAACAGTGAAGTAAAACATCACATCCACTGAAAAAGTAACAACAAGAAGTGAGAAAATGATGTAAACCTTGAGAGTGCCCTTGCAATGGAAGCATCTGAAGCATGCCTTGTGGTAGACCTTATTGTCTGCTCTGAGCTGATCCACCAAGTATACTGTCTTTTCACAAGCTTTACATTTCTGGGTTGTCCCTGCAAACGTTGCCATCTCTCCTCTCAATCTCTCTCTCTCTCTCTCTCCTATCTTTTCTAGTAATCTTTGAAAATGTTTGATTGTTTTACAGCTAATGAGAAGGGAAGTGCGGGCGTTACCTTGTTGACTCTGACAGGTGTGAACAAGAATATGCGGCAACGGTTAGTTTCCGAAGGTAGGGGTAATTCGGTAAAAGTGGCAGTTAATGATGGTTTATAACATAAGCAATGCGATTATATGAATTTACTTCTTATTCTTATTCATAAATGCAACATATTTTAATAATTTACTTATAATTGTTGGTTACAAATTTTTACACACTATTTATTTCCCAAAATATAATTAACATCATTTTTCTTTTAAAACGGTTTTCACTATCACTATAATAAAAGTATATTTGTGTTCAGCCAGATGGATTTCATCAAATTTACAATAATGTCATATTTTACAATCATTACATGTACCTAAACTATAAAAATAATATAAAACTAAGTATATCAATTTACAATTCATACGGGTAAATAGTTTTAAAATATAATATATCCTCGTAAAATTAATCTAGTACTCCGTAGTTAAAAAGTTTCTTAAAATTTACTTTCGATGATATGATGAGGGTTTGATCCCTACTAAGATCATTATGAGTTTGGACATGAGATGGGATTCTTGTAAACATAAATATATAATTTAGTATTGAATTTCAAAACTAAATTATCTAAATTTATCTCATATTTTTAGAATAAATTTAAAGAGTTCAAAATGTAATATAAATACTCGTAATTTTTTACAATACAATATTTGTTCACTATCGATGTTCGTGACTACTAATTTAAAATAGTAACTGAAATGCATCAAAATAAGTGATAGACATACGTTATTAGTCTTTGATGATTAATAGTGGGCTTTGAAGTACAGGTGTCGGATAGAGAGGGCTTGCGGTATTCCGACCAAAAGTAGAGGGCGGTAAATTGGACAAAGGGAGTATTTTGTACTGGGATTCGGAGATATTATTGTCCGCTCCTTTTGCATCTTTAGCCGTTTCTGCAAATCAAATTCAATCTAAAAATTTATTCTTTTTTTTTTTTGTTTGAAAAATTATTCATCTCCTAAAAGATTGAATCTCCAACTCCAAACACTTCTCAGTTCCCACATCCCGGATCGATAGAGCATTTAGAATGATGTAAATCACGGTAACTTAATAGCTCAGCGGACATAGTGAAATGCCGGGCCCGGGGCACATTCTTTTTATACAGTAACTAACTAACTATGTCAGTTTACATCGAGTTTTGTTAGTCTTCAAGCTTTCACTCATGTATATATATTTTTGCGCCCAATGAATCTTGATCACTCGACTTTACACTGTCACTAAAGCAAGGCTTTAAGGTAAGCACTCGAATAAACTAAACTAGTCTCAGGAGACAAAATTATTCTTTTTATACTTATATTAAAATGTAATACAAGTTATTATTTTCGTAAATTGAATTCTTATTATTTAATAACGTGATATAATATATAATAATATAATCAGTTAGTGAAAAAATAATAATGATAATGATAATGTAAATACAATCAGTGAAATAACGGTGACAAGTTGAAATATATATATATATATATATATATATATATATATATATATATATATATATATATATATATATGTGTGTGTGTGTGTGTGTGTGTGTGTGTGTGTGTGTGTGTGTGTGTGTTTTTTTTTTTAAAAATTGAATATATTAAGTATTATTATTATTATAAATTAAAGTAATAAAATTTAAAAGTATGTTTGTCTGAAAGAATGCAGAAAGCATATATAGTGATTGTCAAATATAGGTAAACGTCCAAAACATAAATTGACCAATAAAGAATGATTTGCTTTTTGTTTTGAATTATTTATTTGGCATGACATATAAAATAAGCTAAGGGGCCCATATGGGTCTGGATAGTCGGTGACTCACGCACCATATACAACTCATCCCTCAATTATTCGTTTCCCTTTCAAATTTAGGATCAATGACAAAATAAAGAAGAAAAAGAAATGGTGACATTTTGAAAATTTGAAAAGCATTTTCCTTTAAGATGTCAAGTGCACAATGATATATTAAAGTGCAACCGTCTGACACAACCCCACTAATGTTGGTCAGACAGTTGATTTGGTAATCACAAGATTACAAATTCAATTCTCAGTAAGAGCGGCCTATTAGCCTTCTTAATTTAAGTCGGTCAATTCATTGTAGTCATTTGCTAACTAGGGTCACAATACGTGATTTATCCAGTGCACACAAGTATAACAGTCTTGAGGGCACTTTTATATTTCATCGAATCCATTTTTACAGCCACAAATGTTGAGTGTAAATCTACGTTTCATTGAGTGCACTTTATAAATTTGTTGATTGCACTTTAGTGGTAAAATTTTTTGTAATATTTATAAAAATATCACTATATTTTTCTCATTTTGTCATTGCATGATAATACTCACTCTTACTCCGTTCCGATATCATCATATTTTAAAAAGAAAATAAAAGGTAATTTTTAAAGAAATAATTTTTTTCATTTCAACTATTCGATATGATCAAAATACAATTCTTTTTTTTATTATTATTTTATGAACAAGAAACCAAAGTAGAAGATTTTGAAAAATTATGTCTATGCCCATGTCTCTAACTCTAGTATCGATATGCCTAAAAAGAAAACAGAGATTAATTTCAGAAGAAATTACATATTTTCTTTTCTTTTCAACTACCTGATATAATTAAAATGTCATCTGTTTCACATTAGGAAGGAGACATTAAAAAATAAATTAATAATATTAATTGTTTTAAACAAAAGATCGTAGCATTTTTATATATAATAATATGTCTTTTCTTTTGTGTTTTGTTTTTTTTTTTTTAAAAAAAAAAAAACCATATTAACTAATTAAAAAAGCCAAATCTTCTTTTCTTCCCCCCCCCCCCCCCCACCCTTTTTTTTTTTTTTTTCAAAAAATTAAAAGGTGGCTTTGGAGTTTTAGTGTGGGGGCTCACAACTCACAGGGGAGGCGGAATGGGTCCATTGATGATAAGTTGATAACATATTTTTCAACTATTTTTCCCTATATGTTTACAAATGTAAATGAAGCACATTGCATAATTAAATGAATTTTCAATGTAAAAAATAAAATAAAATTATATAATCAAAATAAATAGTAAACTACTATAGTTCCATAATTTATAATTAAATGATTAATTTGTTTAGAAATTTATATTAATTCATCATATTTTATTTCAACAAAATATTCTTATAATATATTAATTAATTAAAGTACTAATCAATCATAATCAATATTCAACAATTAACATTACTCAAATAATCATTTGTAGCTAATTATCTCATTTCGTTAAAATTCAAATGAATAAAAGATTAAAAAAGAAAACATAAAATTGGTTCTTAACTCAAGATTTGAGCTAAAATTTTGTACACATCAACACCCTAAAGAATACCAATTATAAAATAAATTTAAATATGATCTATAGGATTATTTTAAAAAAAAATTATAGGGAAAATATGTTATTTGAAATACGAAATATTAATATGAAAATAATAATTGTTTCTTGGGAGAAATAACAAGCACGAAACGAAAGGATAAAAAAGACTAGGTTGTTAGTTTGAGTCATGTGATACTCACATAATCCTTAAAACTTTATTTGTTACCTTCTAAATGTGTTAGAAGCGTTGTAGTCTAGGTTTTCCAGGATAAAAAGAGCTACAGTTTAATGTTTGAGCACTCAAACACTTAAACCCGGTGAACTAGAACACCGGATGAACACATGAGGATTTAGAAAGAGGAAAAACAAAGTTTTGAGAGCTGGAAATGTTGGAAAAATTAGCTTAAAATGGCATAAAATGGCATATTAAGTGGCTATTTTGTGGTACAATTATCAGTGGGGTCCACTTCCGATTTGGGTCGTGTCAAAGTGGATTCGGATTCTTCGTAGTAAGACGAAGAGATTGATATATTGTACGCTCAAAACGGATAATGGGTGAAATCAAGCCCGAGCTCGCGTGCGCCGGCACCTGCGAGCACGAATGTCGACCGGAAATGGGCTGGCCTTGCGGGCTAAGTTATGCCTAACTTCGGTATCATTTTCCATCTGGTATAGTCACTTGGTTCGGCCAGAACCGAACCGAGAGCACCTACTCTCGTGCTACACACGAGAGGTTGTGGTGCACCGAGAGCACAACTCTCGTGCATCTGTGACCACGAGAGTAGTGCACTCTCGGGTTGCACCACAGTGCACACGAGAGTTGTACTCTCGTGTTGCCTGGTCCGTGTGCTCTCGTGTGAACCTGCACCCTAACGGTCTGAAACCCGAAAGTTCAGTCTGTTGTACAGATTAAACTCATCTGTTACGGAATTAATACTGTTTTAATTCCAATTTTAAATTCTGAGTTTAATTCTACTTAGTGGATGACCGTTACAGGTGTTATACAATTGGTTTAATACCAATTAAAAGCCATGTTGAATGCTATCCCTTCCAACAGCCCTATATAAAGAGAGGTAGAGCAGTAGCATTTTATACAGTACACGAAACTAGGGAATTCCAGTAGCTTTCAGCTTCAAAACTTCTGCTTCTACTCTCTTCTTTTGCCAACAGTGTTCATACTGTGCTTTGTTTGCCGGGTTCCTTGTTTAGGTGCTTAAACAAGGAATCGTAGCACGTTTTATCCTGGGAAACCTAGGCTACAACGCTCCTAGCACCTGTGGGAGGTAGCAAATAAGGTTTTAAGGAAAAGAACCTTGTGTTCGAACTCGTGCTAAACCTATACCCCAAACACTCAACCTTTTCCTTCCCAGTTTCTGTTTTCCCATATAATATTAATCTTTCCGTAGGATTATTATTATTTTGGGATTTTACAACCATATTACCCAACAGGAAAAACATAGGATTTGTTATGAAAAATCTGCTGCACAACCATGCTTATATAGGAGTTGATGGATTAAATAACATTTAACATCCTTTCAAAAAAAAAAAAAAACATTTTACATGACATTAATTTCTGGTTTAAAAGCCAGACTGTAACCTTCAAAACTGACAATCATTAACCTGGAGATTAATTCTAAAATTTAAAATTATAATTAATATGAAGTTAATTCCGTAATATTTGAATTAATTCTCCAAAACGGTAACTGGAACGATACCTTCGAGCGTAGTTAGAATGGTTACTACTCCGATAGGTACCCAACTACAATCAATTGGAATGGTGAGTCCTCCAACCGAGACGTTACAACAATGTTACAAAATATTTTTGAAAAAATAGCTTTAACATTTCAAGCTCATTTTGGAATTTGATTTGTACCCCTTGCACACAAGAAAGAGCTTATATTTTGAGAATTAATTTTTCATTCAATGTTTTTTTTTAAAAAGACTATTGTATAAATAATGGTGCAAATCCATTTGTGTTTCCAATGTGGGACAAAATCTACTTTAAAGCCTTTCCCTCTTTATTTTTTAACTCAAATGGTCTATTTTGAGAACTAATTTTTCATTCACCCATTATCCGTTTTGAGCGTACAATATATCAATCTCTTCGTCTCACTACGAAGAACCCAAATCCACTTTGACCCGACCAATATCTAAAGTGGACCCCACATATATTTGTACCACAAAATAGTCAATTTCCATGTCATTTTTATGTTATTTTCTCAACAAAATAGTCAAACAAGTTCTTGAACTAATAACAAAAATGCAATTATACCTTCAAAAAAAAATGCAATTATACTAATGAATCCAAAAAATAAAAATGTAAATGTACTAGCTTTTTTTAGTTTAGGAGGTGTTTTTTTTTTTTCAAGTACTACTAAGTAGTGACTCTATTACATCTCCATTAAAACTTGATCTCATGACCTCCGATATGGAAGAGTCACTACATGCTATCTGAGCACAAAGTACTTGGCAGTTCAGGAGGCTAATTGCACTATAATTAATAGTTTGATGGTTTGTTTGACATTTTCTCACAAACTTTTAAAAAATCCTTTACATTGAAGTCTAATTTGAAAATTTTATTAGAATAAATTTAAAATAACTGTTTAAATATTAATTTTTTTAAATAGTTTAAATATTAATTTAAATGACGAATATTTATAAACTATTTTAGATTTATTGAAACATGCTTGTTATTTAAAGCACAAATTAACTTTACAACAATAACTTGTACTCCATGTGAAAAGAATTTAATTTATCTCACGTAATGTCTCACGTTCAAATCTTATACAACAAATGTTGAGAAACTCTTCAAATAAAATTCAACAATAGTTCAATTTTGAAAGGAATTAATTTATTAAAAAAATTAATTTATCTACGACCGAAGCAAGCTTTTTATTAATTAACCATTTCAGTCAATTGCATTACAAATTGTACTTATAAATTTACAATTGACTGAAATGGTAATATACCCAAGTTCCATTTCAATATTTCACCGTACTTAAACCTTGTTTGGCAATTAGTTGTTAAAAATTAGCAATTAGTTAGTTGATTGTGCTAACGGTTAGTTGTTAGTTGATTGTGTTAATAACTAGTTGTTGGTTGATTGTATTAATTGGTTTGAGCAACTGATAATATTAGATGTTTGTGAAACAGTGTTCATTTGTTCAAATTAACTAAAAATAGTATATTTGAGAGCTTAAATATATAGGTAATCTATTCTATCATGAGAAATTGACGTTTTAATGTTCTTAGCACTCTCGGGAGAAAGGAAGTTGTTCATGATAAAGGCTTGAACTTGTTGTGATTATCATGAATAGAATTTTTGGAAAATATTATTTAGAATTAGGGAAAAATGTCAAATAAGCCATCTAACTTTATACGAAAGTGCAATTAGTCTCCTAAACTTCTAAAAAGTTCAATTAAACACTCCAACAATATAAATTAGATCAAATAAGCATATTTTACTGGTAACCAACAGGTTACTGGTATATAAATCATCGTGACCGTTACTATTTGCTTTGACTGCCTTGAAATATCATTGAGCGGAGGAAAATCGGCGATCGACGATCGATTGTCGGTCGCTGATCACCCTCTTTGAAGAAGGTGACCACTGGGTCGCCTTCTCCGCCGGAGAGGGCGACCAAATGTGGTCTCCTTCTGTTCGGATGAAGCCAGCGGTCGGTTACCTGTAAGTGACCTGCTATTGCAGGTCATTAATCAAGTTTAGGATTTCAATGCATTAAAATAGCTAGTTGGAGTGTCTAATTGCACTTTTTAAAAGTTTGAGAGACTAATTACACTTTTGTATAAAGTTGAGCTTATTTGACCATTTTCCCTTTAGAATTATTATTTCCTTGTATACGACCTCACAAATTAAAGAGCGCTGATCAGGTATTGACATCTAGTTCCTAGATGGTTAAGCTAGGCACACAATTTATAGTGTTGTTTTGGGTCAACTTTCTGCTAAATTGGACGAGCAGCAAAGTTTCAAGCATGTTTGCAGGAACTCAACATCAATTGAAAAGGTAAGGTATTGCCAAATCTTAGTAAGCTAGACAAGAAAAGTTGGGTTAAGATAAGTGATTAACTTTCAAAACCTAAAGTTCAATAAGGACATGTCCATTTTGCATCAGTTGCTATTTACCAGAAAATCAAAGTTATGTACTGCATTGGGTATGTGGGAATGGATTGAACTGGTAAAAAAAATGGATCCATGGAGTTAATAACAAACACAATGGAATCAACATTTAGTCTTTTTGGGTTCAAAGAGCCACCCAACCTTATTTCTATTCTCACCTAGTTAAAACATGAGTTTCTTAAAAGGAAAAATTGGTGCATCAAGTTATCAGCTTTGCTATGAGCATACAGAGGAGGGGCCTTAAGCCACGAGTTTCTTGCACTAAATATTCAAACAGCAGCTGTTCCCTTGACTTATTCCCTATACGCTTCAGAGAATGAAGGGATTGCAAATATGCAGAATAGAATCATGAGCCACCACTATGAGCTTCCACTTTCCTTCTTCCTAGCTTCTTCCCTCATTACGGCTTTGACATAAATTTCATAACAACACCCTGAAAGTATTCAATCAAGAAAACTGGATTAATACATGCTCGTAAGACATTAAGAGTATCAACTATAATTAACAAAAGGTTTTCATAATACAGAGCTGGGCAACTAGTGTCCAAGAGCTCATGGAGTACAACTTGTAACACAATAGCCTCAGAACTTAATACTCGTGATCATTACATAAATATTTAATGACAAATACAACAGGGATTTCAAGTACATTTTATAGGGTTGATAGTAAAGTCATCTGTTAACAACAATCCTAAATCTTGAAGTCAATATATCTGGAGAAAAAATTTATTAGCAGAGGATAACAAACACTCATGTGATTTTAGAAGAAATCATCAGGACGATATCTTATACGGAGTATCTAATCCTCTGACTTTTACAAACTGATTCAATAGAATTTTAGCCAACAGGAAAATAAAAAAAAAAAAAAAAGAAATCACCCAATTTAAGGCAAAAACAATGAAGTACCTGCTACGACAACAACAGTGAGAACATCTCCCACCCTCTTGAGGGCTCGCACACCCTTTGTATTTGATTTAAAGCGTCTCAGTGACGAGTCGTCTGCTAGTAGCTGGCAAATAATAATTTTGGTTAATGATAACAGAACAATTGAGATGAAATTATACAACTCAACAGAGGAAAATGCTCCTTTTAAACGGTCATCCAATACATGCGTCCAATTGCAGCAGGCAACAATCAGTAAATAGCATTACTAGGTGCGATATGAAAGGGAAGCAAACAATTCTAATGCAAAGACTAGAATTGCTCAAGCAAATGTAATCCCAAGTGTCCAAGCTAAAAGGCCCACATCACACGTGAGAAATATGTCATGTATAAAAAAGGATATCAACGCTTTGGATGGATGAACTCCAAAGGCAAATTACTAATATTGAGTTTGTCTTTAAAAGAATTAAAATATACACTAAAGGTGAGGACTAAGGACTTGCTGGTTCTGATTATGTGTTTAATAAATGCTTTTCATGAAATGTATGCAAAAATGCTTTTGGTGCTTGCCTTTAGATGGAAAACCTCTATGGACAAGGTCATGTCTTTTTAGTGTATAATGTCATTTACCATCCTTCTTCTACCATTCTTATGTTATTTCTAGGTTAACAGAAACTAGAAAAGCATTACTATTCACTCCAGAAATGCACCACTTCTATTTTCATTTCATAACTAAAATTTCAAAGAACTTAGATTTACTAAGTTTCTACGTCAATGAGGTCAATCTCCCTCAACATATATAGAAGCCTTTAAGAACACAAGTTATCCTTGAAAAACACAGTTATAATGGAGCCAAACTTCCAAACTTATAGAAAAGGAGTTCTGGAGTATGGAGCCAAACTTCCAAACTTATAGAAAAGGAGTTCTGGAGTTGTTACTTGGTTGGGAGGAAATAACTAAAGACAAAAGTAAAAAAAATTGTAATACATAGAGTTTTACAAATTTTCCATTCCACGTTACCTACAGTAGTGCAAAACGACTTGATTATTTTATTTAACTTTTTCTAAATTATCAAATACAATGGTAAATCAACCCAGTGATTTATGAAAGACCCTGCACATCTCAAAAGGCTAAGAAGAGGTTGTTGGAGTATAGCATTTGCTGAGTTGCTAACAAATCCTTTTCTAAATTTCTTAACAGGAAAAGCAATGGCACAAATGCATGTGAACAATAACAAGTGCTAATAAAAGAACAGCCCTTGGTACACTTATGTGGAAAAATCAATGAAAACTATCATAATGTTTGAAAGAATGAAAATGGTTTTAACATAAAGTAATAAAACAAGAAGCCCACATTTCATCAATCTACTATTATACAACGTCAATTGGATTACAGAATGTTAATTAAATAGTGAATTATACAATCACCTTAATAGAAACAATCATTCATTCCGAATGATACTATCTTGTATATCAGGAAAACCAAATGACTTGCATATGTTTCTCAATACACAAAACACAAGTGGAAGACGAGAGAGAGAGAGATTTCCTCCACCTCCCCCTTCCTTCTCCACTGCCCAAAAAAATCTAGATCTGAAATAAAAATTGAACTAAGCACACTCCCAAGAACTCCCGGTCTCCCGCTAAGTGGGAAGTGCTTTAAAACTCCAAAATTCAGCCTAAGTCTATAAAGAGACTCACAGTTAGTGAAACTTCACATTCACATTTCCAAAGCATTATCTTAGCCAAAACAAAGAAACTAATTATGCTGCAGTGTGTAATACATATTTCTTCTCAATCTAAACCAAAATAATAAGTCTGTTGAGAAACTGAAAAAAAAATTGTTTTCCTGGTACCTTCGTTCGGTAGAAAAGATTAACTAGTGAAGTATATTCTTACAAGATATAAAATATAAGCAATAAGAAATAGTGAACTATATTCTTACAAGAGATGAACAGAAAAGAAATATGAACAATTGCTGAAAACTAAACAGAGTTCACCTCCAATCTTTCACTAAAAATTTCTCTTAAGATTCAGAAGTTATTCTCAGATTAACTAGCCTAATACTCAAATAAACACAGCTCAAAACCTCCACCAAAAAAAAAAAAAAAAAAAAAAAAAACTGTAAAAAAATGAATAGAATAAAATAAAATAAAAGGATTTATCGACCATCCAAGATTCAACCCCAGATCTTTCCTTTGTATTTAAGCAAATAGCATTAAATTTATTAATTAAGATCTGCCATTTATAACATATCAAGATATTTAAACTTTAGCTTATGATCTCCAAATTTATGACATATCAAACGGCTGATATCCACGTCAACATAAAAGCTATCAAAAGTAAATCAGATCCTTTCGAAATAACATCATCATCATCAATGCAAAGTCCGGGAAGAGGGAGGTAGGTACTCACAGCCTTCTCGCGAGCACCAGGTTCGATATGCAATCCACGTCTAGGCGCCACCAACGATGAATCATCAGCCTTCTGCAGTACGATTTTCGTAGAAAGACGAAGAAAATACACATTCAATCAAAACATCAACGACTCATTTACGAGCCTAATTGCCTATAGTATACACATACGCAAAGAGAGAACCTGTGAGTAAAGTCGGAGCTGAGAGAGAGCCGATTTGCCGACGGAGAACGCCATCTTTTCCGAACAAACCAAAACCCTTGACAGAAATGATCTAAAGAGTGGCGAACACAAAGAAAAGCTGAAAAAAGAATGCGAGAAAGAGAGAGTTGAACTTTCACATGTTTTATAAACTCGACCCAAATGTTTTATACATTTCACTTTAACCCCCGTTAATTTTGGACTAGTTTCTGACTTTCTGTGACCAGAAACGTCACCGTTTTGAAGAGTTTCACAAATATTTTATAAAATCGCCCCAAATTTTTATACATTTCACTTTAACCCCCGTTGGTTGTGGACTAGTTCCGATAATCAAACGTCACCGTTTAAAGAGTATTACAAATGCTTTAGAAAAAAAAAAAAAAACTAAAATGTGTCAAATAAGTCATTAGATTTATTATATTTTGCAATTAAGTCTTTGTATGCAATTGAACTATCAAATAAGTAAAATATGATAATTGAATTTTCTTTTTATTTCTTTTAATGTAATTTGAGTTAAAAATATTTTGATTTTTACTCCCAATTAATATGATAAATGAAAAGACAACTCTTAATACATACAATGTAAATAATATGATCGAATTCTACTGAAAAAAAATGAAAAAATATTTCAATTGTATATATATATTTTACTTGTTTAATGTCTCGATTTTATATATTTTTTTAAATTCAGTAACCCAACTTCACAAAAATAAAAAATTTAATGACTTATTTAATACTTTTTTAAATAATATTTTAAAAATTATTTTTCGAATTTCCAAACACAACCTTAACGGCTTAACCCCATTGTTTTAGGACTAGATTTGGACATTTGGTGAGCAGAAACGTCACCGTTTTGAAGAGTTTCACAAACCACAAAAAGGCGAGTCATTTTGATGAAAACGCTGGCGCCACGTAAACATGGAAAAACTAAAAGAACATTCTTAGTAGTAACGAACAATCTTAAACTGAATCAAACGCAAAGAAAAAAAGAAAGCAATGGCTCTGAGGTTGGGTGTTGGAAGGCAAGCAGCTTCTCTTCTCTCTGTTACACCAAGGACCAGATTTAGATCTCATGCCTTTGGGTTTCTTCCTCTTCTTCACTCCCCAATCCCAAGAATCCATAATCTTCCTGGTACTCTTTCATCCCTACCATTCATTCTAATATTTATGATGTGTAAATGAACAATTTTTCTGTTTTCATATTCTGGGTCTGTTTGTATTTCATCCATGCCCAAACAACTTGTGGACTATACTCAGAATAGAATGTTTCCTGTTTCTGAGAATCATAAAGGGTATTGCATTGATTGTGCAATTGTTTTACTATGTTGTATATATGTAATTTCAGAATCAAGATTTTCAGTTAGGGCTACAAGTGGAACAACTGTGGATGCTGTGGCTCCCAAGAAGGAGAATGAAGATCAATCTTCAAAGAATTGGAAAATTAAGATGCTTTATGATGGGGAGTGCCCCCTTTGTATGCGTGAGGTCTCTCTATCTCTCTCTCTCTATACAATTCCCAGTTTTCATTTTTGTTTTTCCTTCCTATGTAAATGTTCTGTTCTGTTTCTTGGTTGATTTGTTAGCTGACGATGGGCGAATGAAACTCATGTTTCATATGATGGATGGTGTTGTTAGGTTGATATGCTTAGAGAGAGAAACCGAAGTTATGGAACGATCAAATTTGTTGATATAAGCTCAGATGAATATCTCCCAGAGGAGAATCAAGGCCTTGATTATGAAACAGTACGTTCCTCGCTATATCTATAAAGTTTCAGTGTCATAGAAATGAAGTTTCTGAACTATCGGATCTTTCAGCTTCACCTGTTGATGCGTTGGCATTGCAACAAATTTCATAGCAACAAAATCCGAAAATGAAACTAATCAATCAAAGCTAGTATCTTTAGTATGATTGTAATGTCAAACTCATCATGTTTCGATGACCAACTAAGAGTAGCATTTTGATTTCTCGAGTTCTTGAGAGCAAAAAAAATGATATTTTGCCCACAAAGGGCGAAATTCCCTTACCCCCAGGGTCCCCACACCATGCCCCGACAGGATAAGTGGGGTAAATCACGGCGACTTAGCGGTCCATTAGGTGGGAGGACCAGTGCCGGGTAGCAAAAATGATATTTTGGTACCAACTGTTTCAGGTTATGGGAAGAATACATGCAATTTTATCCGACGGCACTGTTGTTACAGATATTGAGGTACGTCCTTTTAAGATACTCAAACAGTTTCGAGATACATGTGAAATTATACGTGAGTTGTTTATACTTGACAGTTACATGCCTAAAGTTTCACGATTTAGAATAACGTTTGACACCATTGGTAATGTTTTAGGCATTTAGAAAACTATATGAAGCAGTTGATTTAGGATGGGTCTACGCGATTACCAAATACGAGCCTGTAAGTCCTTACAACGTTTGGTTCAATGTAAGAATGGCTTACTGATTTTCATTGAGATGCTGATTATTGGCATTTGGCAGGTTGCAACCATTGCAGATGCTGTTTATGGCGTTTGGGCTAAATATCGCCTTCAAATTACAGGTCCACCTATACTAGTTTCTTTTCGAATGTATTAAGCTCCATTAAGTTCATTCCAATGTTTGGACATGGTCTTCAGCTTATCACATTAGACTATTAGATTACGTATCATTGTCTAACATTATTGGATATTTATCTCGCATAAAGACAGGTAGGCGTGTTTCTATATAGAAGTGCAAGGCTATAGAAGGCGCTAAACGCTAGTCAAGCGGCCGGAGGGGTGCCTAGCGCCTAGGCGGCCGAGTAAAATAACAATAATAATAAGGTGTAGCCGCCCTAAACCTTTAAAATAATATATCGAGTTGGCTGAGTAGGGCGCCTAGTCAGCCGACTGACTAAAAGGTGCCTAGGGGAGCCTAGCGTCTAGTCGACACCTAGGCCAATTTTTACAACACTACAGAAGTGTATGCGTTTTGATATACATTCACTTAATTATCTCTCATTATAGGTCGACCGCCTCTAGAGGAAGTTTTGGAGGCGCGGAGGAAGAAGGTAAGAAAACACAACTGCATTTAAAATCTTCATTGATCATTATGTGTTCTTAAGTACAAAATAAGTTGCAGAACAGCAAGTACTTTGTGGTTTGATGACATCACTCTAGTCCTTCCAAACGAAAGGTTAGATTGTAGTCACACACACACACACACAAAGTTGATCTGACACAACTGTTCATTTCTATCACAACAGGAGGAACTATGTAAGGACAGCAAGAGCTGCAAGATGTAAACATTTTAGGCATCCTGAACTGCAGAAAATTAAAGTCTTATGTTTTTACCTGTATTTCATGTGTAGAATGTGTCCCAATGTACAAGATACCACACTTTGTTTTTCTCGGTACCTTTAGCACAAATTACATGTAATAATGTACATATGGCTATAGACTGAATATCTGAGAAAATATATGATCTTTCTGTGTCTTAAAGACTAGCAAATGATTTATTTTTTATTAACCTTATTTCCACCAGCAAAAATGCAGACATACAATGGCTAAACTCACATTTGATAAACAAGAAGAGAAAGAGAATCATACATATGACTTCCAGAGCCCCAGGAACACAACACGGAATGAGTTCTTCCCATTTAAACCACACCTAAGGTTGGTTCACGAAACGAGTAGAACTACACTGACAAGCTAAGCCATGTTTTCAGCATCCTCCTATCATGGTTTCAACAATCCTTGCTTGAACCCATCTTCTCCTCTTGAATCGCATGCTTAAACACCTCTTGCAGAATCACCAAGAAATGATTGGAACTTGATATAACCACAAAGCAAATCGATGGCAGAAAGAGTGATAACCAGTAGGTAAATACAAATGCATTGTCGAGGAATAATCAGGGTAATATGTGAAACATACAGGACCATCAGATGAGGAGCAGAGTAGCGATAATCGTACCAATTTCAGACAATCAAGTGCGTAACGTCCAATCACCAACGAGCTGAGAAGCGAGAAGCCAAGTTTGGTTTTAGCCATGGAGTCATTTTATGGCATGATCTTGATCAAAAGATTTTAGCCTCTTCTGGGCATGATTATTTGGCAATCCCAAAGGTTTACCGCCTCTTTTCCTTTTAGACGACTTCACAACATCGAACACCATTCTCCAACGATTCAATGCAAGCTCTTTACGGTACACCATTCTCAAACGCTTCAGTGCATGCACTTTAAGGAACACCATTCTCAAACGCTTCCGTGCGTCCACTTTTTGGAAAGAACCATCCAGTGGGGGTATGAACACAGAACTGTTTGCAGAACTTTGCTGATTAGCAACTAACCCAAAAGTAGTGGTGTGTCCAACCATTAAGCCATTCCACATATCCCAATAAGAATTATGAGATGGACTGCGAATTGGAGAATCAGAGAGCTCATCATTATTATGGCTCGTAGAACCAAAATCTTGCCCACTATGTGCAACGTGCTGCAAAGTGGCTTCGTGTGGGCTGTAACTATGATTTATTACTTCCCTATCATTATGGCACTCCATGGCCATAGAATCTGAAGGGCCCAGATGTTGAATGAACGAATTCTCATCACCGAATGTGACTATATCTTCCCAGTGCCTGCACGCAGATTCCTTCAACTTGAGAGCGTTATCCTGTATTGATTGCCAAGCGCAAACAGTTAAATATAGCGCAGAAAGAAAAGAAGGAAGTCATAACAAGTAGAATAGCATGCCTGTTCATCCATGGATAACTCTTCTGTTCTTCTGTACCGGCCTTGTAGAACAAGTCCAAGCACTTCTCCAAAAAGGTCAAAAACCACCCCGGTATCTTGAGAATCAGCATACCAATACACCCTTTCATCAATTTTGCATCTTCGAGCATGGTTCACCGTCTCCATCCAACGTTTTGGTGCTATTTTTAGTATCTGTAGATATTGCAGAGGTTTGAAGGCTTAGGATTGTAAGCAGGGAGAAACGTCAAAATTTCAAAACTTGCAACACCTCGTTACTATGTTGGACAACATTAATTTTCTTATTGTCTGAAACATACCTTTTGGTTTTGAGCTCTAAATTAATGAGGCACAGAATCTTCATTTTCCAGTAAGAGTTGGAAATTTTCAAAACAGAAAAACAGCCAAAGAAAACAGAAAAGGGATGTACTAAAACACATGAGCATAATATCACCATCCCATTGATTCAGCAAATTGTTAGAAGCAGATTATATATTCCTTTGAGCTATAAAAAAACATGTTTATATATGAAAAAGCATTTTAACAGAGTGAGCTCAAAGGAAAGAGAGGAAAACAATTACTTCTTTAAGCTGCTCAGAGTCTCTGAGGAGTCGAACAAGGAACTTCTCAACAGTTTCAACTTGTTTCTCCTTTAAGCGATCATAAATTTTACCCTTTCTGTCAATATTTTTTAATTGCCATACATCATCGGATAAATCTGGGAACTCATGCTTCTTGTACACTGCAATCAACAGGCAATAGTTACCTTTAAATCACATTAATTAGTTATCCTCATCTTCTTGCGTTTATCTTGTTCAATTCAGGCAAGAACGAACAGAGATGTTAGAGTCACTATTTTGTATACTGTTTTTATTTCATACTTACATTGGACACGGCTATCCTTCACCGTGAAGGATTTCGTTTTTGCTTCTTTTACTACAGTTCCACTGGATGCACCGACAACTCTTGCTCCCAGCATGTACTTGCAGTTACTTGTCCAATCTGAGCACTGCCTGAACTTAACATTTTGCAAAATTCCAACGCCTTTATTCAGCTTCAAGCGCACATTTCCTTGAAGAAGAGATTTGTTAGCATTATTCACTCGTTTAATAGATTCGTTGAACACTTGAGATGTCCAGTTATCTTCAACAGCATCATCCAACTCCCCTTGAAGAGCAACAATTTCTATCTCTGCAGAGGCCTCACTCCCGGTTTCAATGACCTTTTCGGTAAGGTCATCGAGTAAAGCCACGTTTAGAACACTGCCTCCTTCACCCTTGATTTCCTTGCCTGTGAGGACAAGATCAGAAACCATTTGCAGAAACTTTAGCTTCAGGCGCCTTGGAATTGGATTGGAAGTGTGACTTCCATTCTCGGGATTCCTGAGACCAAAAATTCATCTAATGGTTTGAGAGAAAGCTCAATAATGATATGAAATCCTAGTCAGCTAGCCCAGAGTGTCATTACCCTTTAAAACTACGCATAAGATTCAACTGTGCCTCTTCAAGTTCCTTCCTTACCTGGAAAAATGATACAACCAGTGGAGTCAATAGTTAGCGAATAATATAACGGACCCTCCCTAGTCCACTATGCTTTGGGTTGTGAGCAGCAACAGGGGTGCAAATGTTCACCACAGCAATAAAGAATGTTCACTCAAATCAAAGGTATACCAATTTGTTACAAAATTTGTGGTTGGCAAGATAAGTAGACTTACAACTCTACGGACCAAGTCCGCCATGGTCGGCTCCAAAACGCGGTTAATGGTACGAATCGCCAACACTTCAATAACCTTTTCTAGCCTGCTTACAAAGAGATTGAACCAAACACAAAGAAATGTGAGGATAAAAAAAAAACAAAAACAAAAAATCTTATGGGGAGAGGTCGGGGTTGACTTACTTAGCTATATTCAAAAGTCCACCATCATCTGAGCCGCCGGTTTGTGCCAGTGATCCGAGGTTCAGGAGTTCCTCCGACTGCATAACGACGCTGGACATGGTGGTCGGTAGTGAATTGAAGCTTTTCTGGGCGCAGTTAGTTGTGGAACTGAGACAAAACCAAAGATTTTGAAAACAACTAACTGCAAAGATAAGGAAACTCCCTCCTCGGCTTCGTTCTTTTATAGTGTAGATCGGTCCCACGCCAATGCGTGTTCTTAGTAAGACAATTTGCACTTTGCAACACTCTTCAACACTCTTCAACACTACTCTTGTGGTTGTCCGCCTCAATTTCGCCTCTGTCCAACTATATCATTTCTTGATAACTAATAACTAATCAAACTAACACATGATTGGTTGATTTTCAAGTTAAAACTCAGCCGTTATCACTCTACTACTTTGTGATGTTTGGTAAATAGATGTTAGCTGATTCGGTCAGTGGATTTAGCATTAGCGGATTGCAAAAAGATGTTTGGTAAATTAGTTGTTAATTGATAGCTAATTACATGCAAAATAACTTTCTTAAAAAATTTATGGAAAAAAACCGTTACAAAAAGTTAATTAATCGTTTTCAAAAAAAAATAAAATTAATCAAACACTAATATTGGTTAATTAATCAAACACTTACAGGGCGTTTAGTTGGGGAGGGGGAATTACGTGGGAAAGGATTTGCAATTCCATGAGAGATGAATTATTGGAAATAAAGTGGAAATTTAAATTTCAATGTTTGGATGACAGGAATAGAATTACTGGGAATTTCAATTCCAATATTTGGTATACATGGAATTGAAAGGGAATAAATAGTATAAAGTCCAAAATGTCCATTGTTGATGTCAATCATTAATTTTAAGTTAAAAAAGTGAGGGGTAATTTTGACTCATCACTATCTTTTTTTCTTCCTAAAATTCCAGGGGGACATGGGATTTTAATTCCATAAAAATGGGGGAATTGCAATTCCTTTCAACCAAACAAGGGAATTTTGTGGCATTTGAAATTAGGTGAGAATTAAGTGGAAACGGAATTTAAAATCCCTTCAACCAAACGCCCTGTTATATTTGTTATATTTAAAAATTTTACTCAAAAGCTAAGAGGAATCATCAGTATTAGATGGATTCAGAGATAATTCGCTAGTTTAAGTCCAGCTCGTAACAAAAATTTATTTTGCTTTTTTAATACATGGGGAGAGTTGAAAATTCATAAATCTCCCTCTCTTTTGCATATTTCGATAATACTATGTTACTTGCAAACCCATTTGAGAACTTTGGTGCCTCTCATACACCGAATGATTACTTCTAAATCACTCTCAACGATGACTCGAGAAAAGCTAGGCGGATGATGACTTGGTAAAAGCTGCTACTCAAGGCCGTATAAAGAACATCTATAACGTTTTTTCAATATATTAATAATATTTACAAATCTGCAAATCTAACAAAAGCCAATAAAATTAAAGCTCAAAAATTAAAAAATGTTGGTGTAATTGTTTTTTGAAAGGAGCTTGTTTTTAATTTGCAGGAGCTCCTCAATTTTCTTCTCTCTTTTTCCTCCACATCAACATTGACCCTACAAAAACTCCAAAAAAATCATTGATATATAGTGATGTTGTTAGAGAGCTCTGATTAATTTTAAGACTGCCAATTCATCTGGTTCAAAAAGTTCACGCAGACCAGTCATGCAAATGGAAGACAGCAAATAACTCAAATTTTGAAGATCTCAGTATCTCACTGTAAATGTGCTTATAAAAACTGTTAGGATCAAGAACTGTACTTCTTTATTTCATTATACCTGCATAACAGTCAGTGCTACTTTTTCGAATGACAGAGTATTGGACTTGACTCTTCATACCTCCGCCCAACAAAATCTATCGATGATTTGAATTTTAAAGGGGGAAGAGAAATTAAGCATATCAAAACCTGACTGTGACTATCTGGTGCAAATTAAAGGAACCATTGTCTATTTGTGTGTAGTGTTCACTAATCCAATTAAGCTAGCACACAAAAAGCTAGGTAACCCTGCAAAACCGAGAACTATCACCCATGTTAATCACCCAAATCACAAACCTTTTAACCAACATTACATGCCATGCTACTCAAGATTAATTTCAAGGAACATATATACAAAACAGGAGAAGTGAAACCACAAAACACAATGTATGCTTCGAGACGTATATATATATATCACAACCTAGTGCTTTGAAGCAATATAATTTCCATACTTGGGTAGTGCTCCCTAGCTAGCTCCAATAATCTAACAAGTCGCAAAACATGCTAAAAGGGAAACTTACACGATCAGCTAGGGGACCCTTTTTTTAATTTGGAAGCTTATTAATTAGCACAATCTTCGCTTCTTTGCAACGTGCAATGTGATAGCCTTCATCAGTAAGAACCATCTTACCAAGCTAAACATTTTTGCCCAACCAATGCTGCGGCATTTGGGAATAGCAGCAGCAACTCGAAGAGAGTTGTTCGTACCATTAATGAGGTTTCCCGGGTCAGAATTCAAATCTTCGTTATGCTGCATCTGATGATGGCAAGTCGAAGAACTTGGACCTGCATCAGTAAGAGTGAGGGAATGAATTGCGTTGCCCAGCATGTATTCATTAACCATATCAGACCATAATTCAGCTTCCAAGTTATTGGGGGAAGCAAATCGCTGTTCAACACGTGAGTTCTGCTCAGAGTTCTCGAGGATATCATCACAACTTAACAACTTAAAAATTTTACTCAAAAGCCTAGAGGAATCATCATCAGTATCAGATGGATTCAGAGCTTTTAAACTAGCAATTGCATCAGACAAAATGTCTGCAGCACTAGTTGGTGACAATTCATTTCCAGAACCAAAAATCCTCAATTCTCTCTGCATATCTTGGGAAAGGTCATCGGGCTGAGAACTCAGAACGCTTAAGACATCATTGTTCTTGTCATGTTCCATTAAGACGCAAGGATTAATGGAAGAGCACGAAGCGCCATTCAGCTCGCATGTCAGGGCATGATCTAAAGTGGCTTCCCACTTGGCATTTGACATATTTCCGAGTACCTGTAGACATACCAATAAAACAAAACACCTCATGCATGGTTTTTTAATAATGTTTCAATTCTTAACTATAAGTTAATAATTCTTACATCTCGTAGTGTTTCACGATCCTTCCGGAATTCAACTACAAAATCCTTCACAGTGACAATTTTCTCTTTAACCAAACTCTTGTGGAAAGCACCTTCTTTGCCAATGTTTTTTAGCCGCCACACTTCATCAGTTGGTGATGGGGGATAACGCTTCTTCGATTCTACAAATGAAAGCCAATGCAAAAGACCATAGAAAACCAAGCACACCACACAAAAAGTAGTGTTTAAAACATTTTTTTTTCTATGCTAACTACATAAGATAAACTAAAATACTACTTACTTGAACGCTGATCCTTGACAACAAAGGGCTCTGTCACCGCCTCTCGAATTCTAATGCCATTGGGTTGATGAACAAACCTTGCTCCTAGCCTGAACTTGCCTTTTCTCATCCATTTCCTTGTGTGTTTGAATTTAATCCCATACACAGGTGCATTGCCTTCTTTCATTTCCAAGTATGGGTTTTCGCCCAGCAATGATGTTCTTCCATCTTCACCTACCACAATTTTGGTGTCAAAATCTTCAAAGCTGGGGTCGAAATTTCCCTCAACCGGAACAATTTCAAGTTTCCCCGAGGTCCCAGCTCCATGTCTGACTACATCCCCCGTAGCACCATCAACTAATGCTACTTCTAAACTCCCATCCCCTTTCGCAACAATCCGTTCTCCAGTAAAAACCACCGCAGGCATTTCTTGCGAGAACTTCAATTGTAAACTTCTTGATGCAGCTCTATTATGTCTGCTATTGTTGTAAATAAACATGCAAACACATGATGATCGAGTAGCATCTATCTAAAATTACTATAAAACGTAAAGCTTTCCATGTCGTGAAAAGAAATTGAATAAGACTGTCTCATCTCCCACTGTGAATCTTACAACAATAACTATACATAAATTTTAGATTGATTGTTACCTCCTGAGAGCAGTTAAAGTCGTTTCCAGCACACCATAAAGTTTCACCTGTAAATAACAAATTTTCAATATATACAGACTTGTAAACAATCAATCAAGGCAGGAGCTGCAATTTATGCTTGTTTTACTAAATTAGGTATAAAAAAAAAAAAAAATTGAGAAAAGTTCAGTAACAAATCTTCACTAGCAAAGACAAAATCCACTTTATGGTTTATGCGACTGCATCTTTCTTCACAAAGTTGAGGAACTTTTCAGAGTCTATGAGCACCCAGGAGCAAATCTTATAAACTAAATGAGTGATTTGGGAAAAGAAATCATAGCTAGTAATGAAGTCGCAATTTTATTTTCTATTACTCTCGCATTTTCGAGAGGTAGAGTGCTGGACCTTTATCCAACAATTCCCCCCAACACTTACAACCACATTTTCAAAAAGCAGGCCGGGTGTTAGACTTGGCTTTTCAGGCCTCTTCCAACAATCTCCGGCCAGACCTCCGTCCAGCAATCTCCTAGCCACCTAATAAAGGGTGTTGGACTTATCCTTCAGGCCTCTAACAAACAATCCCCAACCACTTGGTGTTGGACTTGGCTCGTCAGACCTTAACCACCTAATGATGGACTTGGCCTTCACCGGCCTCCGCCCAACAGTTTACCCAGCCAGGACCTACCGCTACATTTTCAAGAGGCAAGGTGTTGGATCTGGCCCTTCAGACCTCCGCCCAACAATCCCTAGCCACTTGGTGCTGGACTTAGCTCCTTAGGCCTTGACCCAACAATCCCCTAGTCACCTATTGCTGGACTTGGCCTTTATCGGCCTCCGCCCAACAGTTCCCCCAGCACCTACCGCTACATTTTCAAGAGGCAAGGTGTTGGATCTAGCCCTTCAGGCCTCCGCCCAACAATTCCTAGCCACTTGGTGCTTGACTTGGCCTCTTAGGCCTAGATCCAACAATCTCCTAGCAACCTAATACTGGACTTGGCCTTCCGTCCAACCCAAAGAAACTGTAATTACTTCAAATAAACAGAGATCAGAACAAAACATGTTGAAAAATCACAAATTGTGTTATTGTGCTGGTGAAGTATAATTGCACAGGCAAGCAAAGATAAGCTTGGGTAGTTTAATTAATTAGTTCAAAATTAATAATACTGGTAAAATCTGCACTCACAATCATCCTCAGCTTACAAACACCCACCATATCCCTAACCGCCCTGCATCACAATTCACAATTCACAAACCATTACAAGTCAACCACCAAGTCAACCCATATATATGTAAAAATTGTAAAATAAAATAAAATAAAATAAAAACAGCCTATATATTGGTGCTCCTTAAATTAGCTCTAGATTCAATATCTTGAGCATATATACTATTATAGCTCACAGCATGCATGCATAGAGAATGGGACTACTGGGGGTTGCTATTATTGGTAAGAAATTTAAAGACTCTAAAGCATATATATATGAAAATTAAAGAAAGCCCACCTCCTAAAATGATGAGAATCTGAAGAGCTGTGGGGATTAGAGAATGTTGGAGAATCCCCATGATTACTGGGGTGAACTTGTGACATTTGATGGCCTTTTTTGTTTGATTGCAGTTGCTGAAGCTTTCTTGATTTAGCATATTTATAGCGGGAGCTGATGATGTGCTTTCATTTCATGCACGCGTAAATGGTGCAGTTTACTATTTTAGGCCTTCCACACATTGCGCGTTACGCTGGGGGATTGTAATCTATACTATATATAAAAACAAAATCCTGAAATTTTAACTTCCCGTCCAATTCTTAAAAAATCTCTCTTCCCAATAAAATATATTGATTTCTACTTTTCCATTCGTACAATAATTCTGGGTAAAAATTCTATTTTAAAATTTTAAAATAGTGTAGTGCAATTCTCTTTGCACATCTAATCTATACTATATATAAAAACAAAATCCCGCCCAATTACTAAAAAATCTCTCTTCCCAATAAAATATATTAATTTCTACTTTCCCATTCGTATAATAATTCTGGGTAAAAAGTCTATTCTTAATTTATAAAATAGTGTAATACAATTCTCTTTGCACATCTAATCTATAATATCTATAATCTATAATATATATAAAAACAAAATCCTGAAATTTTAACTTCCCACCCAATTCCTAAAAAATCTCTCTTCCCAATAAAATATATTGATTTCTACTTTCTCATTCGTACAATAATTCAGGGTAAATATTATATTCTAAAATTATAAAATATTGTAATACAATTCTCTTTGCACTTCTAATCTATACTATATATAAAAACAAAATTCTGAAATTTTAACGTACCGCCCAAATCCTAAAAAATCTCTCTTCCCAATAAAATGTATTGATTTCTACTTTCCCATTCGTACAATAATTCTGGGTAAAAATTTTATTCTAAAATTATAAAATAGTGTAATACAATTGTCTTTGCACATCTAATCTATACTATATATAAAAACAAAATCCTAAAATTTTAACTTCCCGCCCAATTCCTAAAAAATCTCTCTTCCCAATAAAATATATTGATTTCTACTTTTCCATTCGGACAATAATTCTGGGTAAAAATTCTATTCTAAAATTATAAAATAGTGAAATACAATTCTCTTTGCACATCTAATCTATACTATATATAAAAACAAAATCCTGAAAGTTTAACTTCCCGCCCAATTCCTAAAAAATCTCTCTTCCCAATAAAATATATTGAAATCTACTTTCCCATTTGTACAATAATTCTGGGTAAAAATTCTATTCTAAAATTTGAAAATAGTGTAATTCAATTCTCTTTGCACGTTTAATCTATACTATATATAAAAACAAAATCCTGAAATTTTAACTTCCCGCCCAATTCCTAAACAATCTCTCTTCCCAATAAAATATATTGAATTCTACTTTCCCATTCGTACAATAATTTTAGGTAAAAATTCTATTCAAAAATTCTAAAATAGTGTAATACAATTCTCTTTGCACATCTAATCTATACTATATATAAAAACAAAATCCTGAAATTTTAACTTTCCGCCCAATTCCTAAAAAATCTCTATTCCCAATAAAATATATTGATTTCTACTTTCCCATTCGTACAATAAATTCTGGGTAAATATTCAATACTAAAATTATAAAATAGTGTAATACAATTCTCTTTGCACATCTAATCTATACTATATATAAAAACAAAATCCTGAAATTTTAACTTCCCGCCCAATTCCTAAAAAATCTATCTTCCCAATAAAATATATTGATTTCTACTTTCTCATTCGAACAATAATTCTGGGTAAAAATTCTATTCTAAAATTATAAAATAGTGAAATACAATTCTCTTTGCACATCTAATCTATACTATATATAAAAACAAAATCCTGAAAGTTTAACTTTCCGCCTAATTCCTAAAAAATCTCTCTTCCTAATAAAATATATTGATTTCTACTTTCCCATTCGTACAATAATTCTGGGTAAAAATTCTATACTAAAATTATAAAATAGTGTAATACAATTCTCTTTGCACATCTAATCTATACTATATATAAAAACAAAATCCTGAAATTTTAACTTCCCACCCAATTCCTAAAAAATCTCTCTTCCCAATAAAATATATTGATTTCTATTTTCCCATGCGTACAATAAATTCTGGGTAAAAATTCTATTCTAAAATTTTAAAATAGTGTAATACAATTCTCTTTGCACGTTTAATCTATACTATATATAAAAACAAAATCCTGAAAGTTTAACTTCCCGCCCAATTCCTAAAAAATCTCTCTTCCCAATAAAATATATTGATTTCTACTTTCCCAGTCGTATAATAATTCTGGGTAAAAAGTCTATTTTTAATTTATAAAATAGTGTAATACAATTCTCTTTGCACATCTAATCTATATTATCTATAATATATATAAAAACAAAATCCTGAAATTTTAACTTCCCACCCAATTCCTAAAAAATCTCTCTTCCCAATAAAATATATTGATTTCTACTTTCTCATTCGTACAATAATTCAGGGTAAATATTATATTCTAAAATTATAAAATTGTGTAATACAATTCTCTTTTTACTTCTAATCTATACTATATATAAAAACAAAATTCTGAAATTTTAACGTACCGCCCAAATCCTAAAAAATCTCTCTTCCCAATAAAATGTATTGATTTCTACTTTCCCATTCGTACAATAATTCTGGGTAAAAATTTTATTCTAAAATTATAAAATAGTGTAATACAATTGTCTTTGCACATCTAATCTATACTATATATAAAAACAAAATCCTGAAATTTTAAATTCCCGCCCAATTCCTAAAAAATCTCTCTTCCCAATAAAATATATTGATTTCTACTTTTCCATTCGGACAATAATTCTGGGTAAAAATTCTATTCTAAAATTATAAAATAGTGAAATACAATTCTCTTTGCACATCTAATCTATACTATATATAAAAACAAAATCCTGAAAGTTTAACTTCCCGCCCAATTCCTAAAAAATCTCTCTTCCCAATAAAATATATTGAAATCTACTTTCCCATTTGTACAATAATTCTGGGTAAAAATTCTATTCTAAAATTTGAAAATAGTGTAATTCAATTCTCTTTGCACGTTTAATCTATACTATATATAAAAACAAAATCCTAAAATTTTAACTTCCCGCCCAATTCCTAAACAATCTCTCTTCCCAATAAAATATATTGAATTCTACTTTCCCATTCGTACAATAATTTTAGGTAAAAATTCTATTCAAAAATTCTAAAATAGTGTAATACAATTCTCTTTGCACATCTAATCTATACTATATATAAAAACAAAATCCTGAAATTTTAACTTTCCGCCCAATTCCTAAAAAATCTCTATTCCCAATAAAATATATTGATTTCTACTTTCACATTCGTACAATAAATTCTGGGTAAATATTCAATACTAAAATTATAAAATAGTGTAATACAATTCTCTTTGCACATCTAATCAATACTATATATAAAAACAAAATCCTGAAATTTTAACTTCCCGCCCAATTCCTAAAAAATCTATCTTCCCAATAAAATATATTGATTTCTACTTTCTCATTCGAA